AAAACTGGAGATGGTGCAGACGAGGATGGGGGGCGAGGTAAACTGGGATGCAAAACAATTTTCATTCCCTGAAAAGCGAAGCTGTAGGTATTGAGCTGACTAGAATGATGAACATCATGGTCAAATTGCCACGGACGACCTCAAAGAAGGTGACAGGCATCCATCGAGACAACATCACACCAAATCGAGTCCTGATACGTGTCTCCAATATAAAAGGCCACCAAAACACGACGGTCAACTGTGATAGCATTGCCACGTTGAATCCACGGCCGACATAGAAAATCCCCTAACAAAAGAAAGGACTAAACATCAAACCCGCTAGAGTGTAAGGGTGAGGATGCGGCTCGGGAGAAAGGTGCAATTTATCGACGGCCTCCTGCTCAACCACATTTTCACAAGAGCCTGAGTCTATTATGAAACGACAAACCTTCCCGCCAATCATGCAAGTGGACTTAAAAAGATGAGACCTCTGAATAGGCTCGTCCGACGCATGACGAGGTGCCAAACAAGTCTGACGAATAACCAGGGCCTGACCGACATCACGCGTGAAATGTTTCTCCTCCATCGTTCCCTCATCATCATAAACTGCTGGGCCCGTATAATCACCACCATCATCATCGTCACCTTCCTCACTGGAAAATAATGCCCGAGAACCATGAGCCCGTGGACACGCGGACTGACGGTGTCCCGGCTCACAACACGAAAAACAGCGAAAGCCAGGGGCTGTCCGCGATCCCACCGGGGGACTACCTGTCGTCGCTAAAGGACCTCCAGTCGACAGATTTGACCGCCCTCCAGCCCCAGTCGAACCAGCCGCCTGTGGTGATCCACTCGTCGCTCCCGGTCGACTCGAGAATGGAGCCGCAGCAGTGAACCCGTGGCCCGACCTGCTGGCTGAAAGAAAAGAGGGCCCTCCTCTCTTGCCGAGCTGCTGTTCAACGAGCACCGCCCGCTGGTGGGCGTCCAAAAGAGAAACCGACGCAAACAAATTTAACGTATCCTGCAAGGGAACCCGCAAACCACCAATATATCAAGACACGAGTTGATCCGTCGACTTGCGAAGTTCGACCCTCGTCATGAGACGATAAAATTCGTCGGTATGTTCATTAACCGATCAATTACCTTGACGCAAATTCTGGAATTGTTGATAAATAATACAAACATAATTATATGAGAGGAACTCACTTTCAAGGTGTTTACGAAACTTCGCCTAAGTCGTGACCTTTGACTTCTCAAGCCGACGGCTAGCTTCCTTTAATTGCTGCCACCAAGAGGCGGCCCGGCTGCGAAATCGTATCGCCACCCAGGCCACTCGTCGATCATCTGACACTTCTTTGAAGTCGAGTGCAGTCTCGACCGTGGCCAACCAATCCAAAAAATCCGAAGCGTCCAAGCCTCCTGAGAATTCTGGGATATCGACACGCAAGGAAGATTCCCAATGCCGATCATCGTGTGGACGCTCGTCCTCGTGTGCGTGTTGTCCAAACGGTTTGTAATCAGAAAGGGTGTCGTCGTCGTCACCCTCACTATCCGCAGATTAGGCAACAGGCCGCGGGGCGCCCCACGTCCACCCCAGCCGCGTCCTCCGGGCGCTCCACCAGCACGTCCACCTCGGCCACGGTTCATTCGATCGTCCATGTGAGCAGCGTGTCCAACCATTCGGTCCTCAAAACCCTCTGCAAAATCGGTGATTCGTCGATCCATGAGGTCAAATTGCCGTCCGAACCCGACCTGCATCTCAACGAGTTGACGGCTGAGCATCTCAATAGTGGTATCGACGTTATCGTTCCTCTTTGGCGGCATCTTGGAACGTACTGGTCTCTGGATACCAACTAACGCAGCGAAAGATTAAACGAAGGAACAGAGAACTCAAGAACATATAACTTTTATTTATCGCAAATCAATCGTCCTTCATCATCCCCAAACCCATCAATAAATAGAGTTCCTAACAACCAAAACTCTTTAACTTATTTCCTAAGAAAAGAAATAATAACTTTCCAAACCAACTAAATAAAATAGGAAACTAAATAAATAGGATATGCTAAATAAATAAAAATAGGAAACTGAATAAAAAAGATAATGATCAATGACGACGTCGGTATCGTTTCTCCAGAAAGGCAAGTGCGATCTCTTTGCCATCACATATAGATCGAGAATCCACTTCCAAAGCCGACTCTTAGAGGAGAAGGACCGCAAAATGATTCGGGATCTCCATGCGATGTTGGCTAAGGCCAATATTGACCTATCTCCTCGATGTGTTGAAGAAAATACCGGCCCATGCATGATTCTTCAAGGAAGTGACTATGAACAAGAAGCAGGTCGACAATGATGAGGAGGTGATAATTTGTCAGGCGGCGAGTATCTTCCAGTACGACTTGCCGAGGAAAGAAAAAGACCCAGGAGGCTTTGTGATCAACATAGCTTTCGGGAGTGGAAAAGATGCTTCGGGGATGCTTGACCTTGGGGCAGGCTTAAATCTCATGCCTCTCTCTATCTATCGGCAACTTGGGCTCGGCGGTTTGAGGCCCACCAAGATGCGCTTACAGCTTGCCGATCGTTCGCTCCGTCAACCCGAAGGAATTGTGGAGGATGTGCTTATTCGAGTGGGGAAGTTGATCGTCCCTGTAGAATTAGTTGTTCTAGATGTAGGGGATGTTCGGGTGAATTGAAAAGAGAACACCATCCTCCTTGGACGGTCGTTCATGGCGACCACGAACACGATGATTGATGTTAAGAGTTGTACGCTCAACATGACGGTGTTAGGAGAGACTATCTCTATTTCCGTTTGAAAGACCCGGCCAGAGCCGCAGGCTAATTTTGTAGAGTGTGCGTACCTTAGGGCAATTGAGCAGCTCACTGAGGAATCGTGCATGCGAGAGCACGCTAAGAGGTCATTGCAAGGCCATGATTGTGTTGAGAAAGGATGCCATACCGAACACCACACTACCCCATCCCAGCCGAGTTCCAGAGAGTTGCCCCGATCCCAATGGGGCGAGAGATTTGAGTTGTCAGACGCCCGCCACTGCTCAGGGCCTGACTACCTCCACCTTCTACCTGCACCACCGGATTCACAGTGACTCGTCCAGTCACTGTGCCCTGTATGTCTGTATTTTTCCTTTCTTTTTATTTTCGTATTTGGCTTAGTGTCTTTGTTTTTATGTTGGTTGATTATATGGGTAAACTTTCCTTGCACTGATTATCGACAATGGGGACATTGTTCGGTTTTAAATGTGGGGGAGTTTTTACATGATTATGTGTCTATATGGTTGACCAGGTCTAGTTCTTTTAGGGAGTTTTCATCTTTTGTTTTTGTTTGAGTGTCTTATCTTGAGTCAGTTTGTGTGTTTTGCGAGTATGGATTATGGTGAATTTTAAGATTGGTTGATGATTGTTGATGAGGTTGAGGAGATATGATGATGATCATGACTAGCATGTCTTGGTGAACTTGAATGTTCGTTTTGTTGGACATTATTTGCCTTGTGAGGTTTGGGCCTTATATTGTTTCTTGGGAGATATTGGTTGGAATCTTTGGTGATCAGAACTTGCTTTGAGTCTGTTTTGAAATGAATTTATTGAAGTAGTGATTTGTGAAAATGATTGAGGCATTTCCTTGAAATTGCTCGTTTTAACATTTTTCATTGGCCCTTGATATTATATTTTCATTTGTAGCCCGTTGAGCCTTGAACCGTGTTTCTTGTCAGCCGATTTGATTGAATTATTTGAGATTTGACAGTGTACCTTGTGATGATGACGAAGCTTTCTAATATGTGTTTGGAGGAGGTTTAGAACTTGTTGAGTTGCATTATAGTGCTTGACTAGAAAAAATAATAAATAATAAATAATAATAATAATAATAAAAATTAAAATAAATGGGAACTCCCAAGACGAACGAAAAGGATTCTACTCCGTTTACAAGGAAGAGAATGTCGTCCTTGTGTCTCGATCTTGTTAGGAAAAAGGCAAATTCCCTAAATAAAAAAAAAGTCGAGTACTTAATTGCATTTCAGCTTGAGCATGTGTGAGTAGTGTATGGAGTTTTTGGCGGGAGCGATTAGTTGCATGTTGATTAGAGATATGTGGCAAGGTATTCGAATAACTTATGTGCACGAGAGTGTGATTGTTTATTTGAGCCACTTTATCTTTATATTTGTCCTTCCTTTAATGCCTACATTGCAACCCATGAAGTCCTCTTGATGCGCAAATTCATGATCTTTGATTGTTTTGGAGTATGAATAGACAATAGACAAGCTTATGTTGAAGCAGGATGATCGACCAATTTGAGTGAACCCATTTAATATTCATGCAAGAAACTGAGTGAGGCATATATGTATTATACTTCCGTGTTTGAGAGCTTGTCTTTTCAAAGCGTAGCATTTGAGTTGTAGTTGAGGTATGCGTTAATGGTCATTGGAAGTCTCATCGTCTAAGTTGATTAATTTGAAATTTATCTCGACTGAAACTATTATCCATGCTCATTTGCTTGTTTTCTCTTCTTTTCTTTTCGTGTCTTTTTGTTCGAGAAAAACAAAGGTTTAAGTGTGGGGGAGTTGATTGTCCCATTTTTGTTGCATTTTTCGTTATTGTTTGTCTTCCTTTTTCCCCCGTTTTAGGTCTTTACTTTCGTTCTTATTTCGTTTTGTGTTTTATTGCATGTTTTCCCTTATTTTGTGTCTTTTCTTTGTTTTTCCAGTTGTTTTCTCGGTTTTCTCCGCTTTTGTTTTCGTTCTGGTTGCAGGTCAAGAGTATCGGGAGGATATATTTTCAAGGTTGAATTGGTAGTGTGAGCATAATTGATTAGTGGAGTTCGTTGGAGACAAGCAGGAAAAAACGGAATCGAATTCCAAGTTCAAATGAGTCCAAACGTGCCCGAGACGTAAAGTTGTACGAGCTGCCAACCAGCCTGCCCAGGCCTCGCGCCATGCCGAGCCTCGCGCCGTGGCGGTCCTACCTCCACGAGCGTGTCGCGCCGCGCCCAGCGCCACAAACTCGGACAAAGACTCCTAGCCTTCCGCGTGCCACGCTGCGGCATCCAGCATGCCGCGACAAATCACCTCCCCGCGCCCGCGACATACTCCCACGCCGCGGCACACGATACATCCGCGCCGCGCCCACCTGCCGCGCCCAGCACCACGGGCAGAAAGAATGCAATACCAACGCACCTCCACGCCGCGACGTCCTATCTCTCCGCGCCCGCGCCGGTACACGAGCTGCTGCACGCCACGCATGAACTCCACGCCGTGACCCTCTATGCACATATATATATATATATATATATATATATATATATATATCCGATCGGGACTTACAGAAAAGGAGGATCTTTGGACTCCAGAGACAGAAAACCCTACCCTCTTCCCTTTCACTCGTTTTTCATCTTTCTTTCATATTTTTCATCGTAGAACACGAAATTGAACTTGGATTTTGCTACCGCTTTCAGATTAATCTTGTTTATCAGATTCATCATTCAATTTCCATTAATTGTAAGTTTTTCTATACATTTAATCCATGGATATGTTCACTTTGATTATGGTGGTTTGTGTTGATAATTCGATTATGAGTAGCTAAATCTCTATGCTAGGGATAGGGGATTAATGTTTTGGAATCGTTTGTGATTGTCGTGTTCGTTGATTGTTCTTTTATGCGAGTTGATCTTTTATAAGGGTTTTCAATTATCGTTCTTGAGTATTGAGAATTGTCGAAGGGTGACACTTCAACTTCCAATTGCTTTCAATTGAATTCAATTTATTCCTGCATGACGTTGGTGATTCTAGTTGATTAGTCGGTTAACCACCCTCTAGTATATCTTAGTAGACTCTTAGAACCGAAAGGGGAGGAGTCGGTCGAAATAGGCTCGTATAAGCTAGGCTTGTTTGTAACCGTATTGCCTAGGTGTTAAATGACTTGTTAATTTGTCGTTCAAGTTTGTTCTCTTGTTACGAAGAGTTATTGAGGATGAGTACTTGAATGAATAGGTTATTCAAATCACTTAACTGAACAATCACTTGCCCATTAATTGCAATTCGAACCAAAACGAATACCCCCGACTCCCTAACTTCTTAAATCCTATTCATTCTTCGTTGTTGCTCGCTAGTTCTGTTGTTTATATTTGAATTTTTGCAGTAGTTGAGGAATTTTAAAATTTTCTTACCAACAACGAATATCCGGCTATAGCTATTCAATATGATCCTAGATCGCGTGAATAATTAACGAGACTTACCATTTAAGCCTTGTCTTCAACTATGGTATCCACACAATCCAGATCCCGGTGCACGATCCAACACAATGAATCCTTATTGGTGAAGACGCTAGGAATCCTCAGTCAGAAAGCAAGAGAGTGTTATGTTCTTACAGCGTATCTCTTTTTCTCTCATCTAATGATCGTCAGAGATTACCATGAGATAATGGCCTATTTATAATTAGGTAAAACCAAATTATATGGGCTGTAGGAGATCCTATGGCCCAATAGGTAGTTTGACTTAATCCAATACATGATCACATTAATAATTATATTAGATTGTAATTATGGTATTGCAATTAATTAAATTATTACGGATATCTGAATTAGTATGTTTAGGAATTTTATTTCTTTTATTTGTGTTTGAATAAACGTGCATAACAATCCGGCTAACCTTTCTCGAGAGACACGACCCGGTGTTCGAATCTTTTGATTCTACTCTGGTAAAAAATATTTACAACATCTACCTTGCTTCTGGAATGTACAAGCCAAGATTGACAAAGGATTGGATTGGATCACGGTCCTGTGGGTGCTCTCGACAAGGCTCGTTTGCAGTAGGGCGTGGGCGTGTGCTCAAGGGATCGTGGTTGCTCGCGTTGCGTCTATGGAAAACTCGGTATACGGCAGGTCTCCTCTGATTTCATCACCTAAGTGTGGTGACGGCATGGCTCGGGTGTCGTGGTCTCGGTGATGGCAGCGGTGTTAGGGTAGAACACCAAAACGCAGCGGACAGAAATACCTCTCCAACAAATATGGCAAGCACTACTCCAAACAAAAATAAGCCAATACAAATAAATAAAATACGAGAAAGAAAAAGAACACAAAAATTGATAACGGAGTTCGGCGAAAATAGCCTATGTCACTGGGCACCGCCAACCGCAACGCCAAATTTACTAAACTCACCAACAAAATACAACTAGGGTTAAATAACCCACAAATTAGGATTTCTTTAATTAAGGATTTCCAGTGAAGAGAGGAGAGAATAGAATAAGGTGTAATTGTAACCCAAAGACAAGGGACCTATTTATACTAATAAGATCCTACACATCTTTGGTATACATTCAATGTGGGACAACAAATTAATCAAAAACTAACAATTCTCCACCTTGACTAATTTTTCTCCCACTTCGACTCTTCAATCCAAATCAACTGCTGGCGGTGCCTCCTAATGCGCCTCTCGGCGCCAACTCAAATATGCAGAATGTGAGTCAAGTCCAAACAATGTTCAAACTTGATTGTTGTCACTACCTTGGTCATCATATCTGCAGGATTCTCCGTCGTCTTGATCTTCTTCAACACAACGGTTCCATCTTCTAGAATCTCCCGCACAAAGTGTTAGCGAACATCAATATACTTTGTTATTGCATGAAATACTTGATTTTTCGCTAAGTGAGTAGCGCTCTGACTGTCACAATGCACTAAGACGTGCTTTTGACCAACTCCCAAGTCTTCAAGCAAACTTTGAAGCCAAATAGCCTCCTTCACAGCTTCAGTAACCGCCATATACTCCGCCTCTGTTGTAGACAAATCAACTATTGACTGTAAGGTAGACTTCCAACTGACTGGAGCTTTCGCAAAAGTGAACAAATATCCAGTCATTGATCTTCGCTTATCCAAATCACCCGCGTAGTCAGAATCACAACATCCAACTACACACTAACCAAATTCATTCTGCTCATAAACTAATCCATCGTCTACAGTACTATGGATGTACCGCAGAATCCATTTCACAGCTTGCCAATGACCTTTACCAGGGTCATGCATATACCTGCTAACAACACCAACTGCTTGTGAAATGTCGGGCCTTGTACACACCATCGCATACATCAAACTGCCAGCTGCATTTGCATATGGGAATCTATCCATGTACTCTCGCTCTTCATCCTCAACTCGTAGCTATACAGACCAGAACTGACCATTGCAAGAGTTACATCGTCCTTCCCATGGAGCAGTGTAGTCTCCAAGTGCTCGAAGTCATTCGGAAGTGACGATAACATTAGAGCCAAATCTTCATCGCTGAATGTGACGTCCAAATTCAACAAATCTGCAACCAACTGATTGAATGCAGTGACGTGGTCATTCATCAATGTGACATGCCGATACTCAAATCGAAACAATCGCTTCTTCATGAGGAGCTTATTCTGGCTGCTTTTCTTCAGAAATTTATCCTCTAAAGCCTTCCACAGAGTGTGAGCAGAATTCTCATTCTTGAACGCGTACTTCTGCTCCCTTGACAAACACGAACGGATTGTTCCACATGCTAAACGACTGATATTCTTCCAGTCCTTCTCTTCAACGTCGGTTGGCTTCTCTTCTTCAATTGAAATGTTGACGTCTTGCTGAAATAGACAATCCAGCACCTCGCCTTGCCACATTCCGAAATGCCTGGTCCCATCAAAGATCTCCACTGGGAGTCTGACGTTCGGCATCACCGTCCTTGCCGGAATGAATGCAGGGGATGATGCGCCCTTAACCTCCTTGGACATCTCGAACTTGAATGCAGTGCTCGCCTTTTCGAATAAGCCTAGGGCAAACCTTCGTCTCTGATACCACTTATTGGGGTAGAACACCAAAACGCAGCGGACAAAAATACCCCTCCAACAAATATGGCAAGCACTACTCCAAACAAAAATAAGCCAATACAAATAAATAAAAGACGAGAAAGAAAAAGAACGCAAAAATTGATAACGGAGTTCAGCGAAAATAGCCTACGTCTCCGAGCACCGCCAACCGCAACGCCAAATTTACTAGACTCACTAACAAAATACAACTAGTGTTAAATAACCCACAAATTAGGATTTCCTTAATTAAGGATTTTCTTCTAAGAGAGGAGAGAATAGAATAAGGTGCAATTGTAACCCAAAGGCAAGGGACCTATTTATACTAATAAGATCCTACACATCTTTGGTATACATTCGATGTGGGACAACAAATTAATCAAAAACTAACAAGCAGCTCTTACATGGCTGCAGCCGCTTGAGGTTAGCGGGGCTCGCACGGCAGGGCTGTGACGGTGGTTCTTGGCGAGGACGACTGCAGCTCTCGGCGAACGCATACGGCATGCTCGGGATGGCTGAAGGTTGCACGGGGATAAAGAGGGCCGAGAGGATGAACTTTGCGAGAAATTCATATCAGAATATTTGGGAGAGAAGATGGAGCATTCTTGCTTGATAAATCTGGTGAAATGTGCGAGAATAAGTCAGTAAGGAAGGGGATTTACTTGATTTCTCTCCAAGTCAAAAATCATGTGTCTTAAATGAAAATAAAGGCCATAAAATTTGCATGAATTATAAGATGTAATTGTTGGGAAATCACGAGGCCTTGGGGAGAAAATCCGAGGGCTCGAATTTGAAAATTATATAGAAAGGTTACAAATGGTTATGGATGTCTTACCAGCAATAGCCACAATCAATTTAACATTTGAATTCAAGGTGAAGGGAAAATACTTACCATACATGGCTCACACTTGGTTTAAAATTCGAAATACATTGCTCTAAGTCATGAGTGTGGCCGGATTTTTCAATAAAATAAGGGGATCGGCAGGGACGGATCCACATGTATGTTGGGGGAGGCCATTGTCCCCCCAACATTTTCTTTTCCTACTATGTATATATAAAATTTTATATTGATTCTCAATTTAAATAAATAAATTAACGATTTGATAATCAACAATCTTCCCTTAAAATAGAGAATTTAAAGAAGAGTAATAGTAGAAGAATATGCACAACAATCCTAACTAATTTGTACTAGTTCATATACTAATAATTATAAATAACAATTAGATCTTGTAAGTCTTCTATAAATACGCTTGTATATAAATTAATACGATGAGTAAATTTAATATACAGAGTATTCATGATATGCAATTTTATGTGGTGGAAATATGTGATGTATGCTTATAGAAAATTCGAACATGAGATTTTTTTTTTATTTTCTATATTTTTATATTGTACAGGTTCGAGTCAACAATTTTTCATATTTTGAGAAAATTAAACAACTCTAATTATAGCAATGTTTAGAAGTACATATTTTTTCTACTATATTAAATATGTGATTTTTTTTTTAAAAAAAAAAATTATATATTGTTTACTGCCTCCCCCACTGAAATTTTCTGGATCCGCCCCTGGAGATCGAAAATTAACTCCAATTGGGCCGATTTTTGCAACATAAAAATGGGCCAAAAACATTTAGCAAAATGAGCTGAGAATAAGTCTCAAGGCTTGGTTGGAAAAAGGCTAAGAAATGAGATGCGATTGCACCGAACAATTTTCGAATGATTTATTGATTGACGAAACTGATATAATAACATTGAAAACAATTTAAGTAGACGAGGACATTTACAAAAATTATTTAACTTATTAGATTAAATAGACAAGGACATCCAAATAACTATAATAAGCTTATTCGAGAAATTTGTCAAGCAATTAACATAAAATAAATGCAAAGCAATGCAAATAATAAAATAAAATACGACGACTCATACAAATCGAATGGGGCACTACAGTTTTGAATTAAAGAAATCTTTTTGAGGGAATATTTACATTAACATTATCTCGAAGACTACTCAAAGCGAGCGCTAAACTATCTTCTTATCAAAGCAATGAGCGACACACGAGGCAAAAGGTCGAGTTGGAGTCTTAAATTGAGAACTATAGTGTAAAGTAAGTTTCCAATAGAGAATGATTTAAAATTGAAAACCTCAAATGAGAAAGTTGAAAATTTAGCCCACACATAAACCCCCTCCTCCTCAGCCTACTTATCCTTTCCCTGAAGTTTCTACATCCACCTCTACCCAATCCATTTCCACTACTACTCACTTGATGGCAATGGATACCCTCAATCTCCCAGATAATCATACACCAATAACCCCTATATCTTCTGATTTAAACCCTAAACCTTCACCCTCTACTAAAACCAAAAAATGGAGAAGAAAATCTAACCCAAAACCCACACAAAACACTCTCTCCATCCCCTATAGTCCTCAGAGGTAAGAGGCAGCTCACTATTAGTTCCACTCTAGACCATATCCCCCACTCTTCTTCTGATCCTCATATTCCCATTACCCATTGCCCCAAAAAACAAAAGCTTGAACTGTGAGTGGTGAGGGAGGCCAACCCAGAATGGCCCCACCCCCACCAATGAGCACTATGTTTTGGAACTGTAGAGGGTTGGGTGGCCCCTCTACAGTCTCCCAACTTAAGGAGAGTATGAGGCTCCACACCCCAATTTTAAACTTCCTTTCTGAAACAAAAAGAAAATAGCTTTGTCAAGACTGTTTGTAGAAATCTAGGAGTATGGGATAATTGGTCTTCTTTTGGATCCAATGGCAAGAGTGGAGGTCTCCTCCTTTTTTGGCACTCTTCCATTAAGATCATTCAAATCCTCAAGAATTCATTTTGTTTCCAAGTTAATTTCCGGGATCCTATTTTGCAAGCCTCCTGCTGGGGCATTTTTATTTATGCTAGCTCAGACTATACTACCAGAGTGGAGCAGAGAGATTTTATTCTTCATCAGAAATAGAACTGGGGCCGTTTTTTGTTTGTGGGTGGAGACTGGAACGAGATAACAGATAAAGAGGATAAGAAGGGAGGCATAACAAGAGCAGAATCTTCTTACAGGAATTTCAATGAATTCATTCACAATCTGGGAGGGCAGGACTTAGGACTTTTGGGGCACCCATACACCTGGGAGAACTGTAGATCAGAGGAGGACAATGTAGAAGAGAGGCTTGACAGAGTATTTGTCTCTATGGATTGGTCTGCCTTTTATGCTTCAGCTAAGGTGCACAATATTTTCAGATCATCATCAGACCATAGTCTTCTCCTACTAAAAGCTCAACTAATTCAGAATCTTCCTAAAAAGAGGTTTTACTTTGATAAGAGGTCGCTCTCAAAATCTGGAATTCATGAAGTAGTTGCTGCAGCTTGGTCTTCAACCACAGAAGGTACACCTATGTACAATCTTCAATCTAAAATCAAGAATACTAGAGTGGAACTCCTGAAGTGGATTTAGAGATGTTAAACGGGATAGCCCTAGCAGTTTCGGGCTAACCCTAGCGGGCTTCGGGCTAAACGGTCTGGGCTTAAAAAGCCCAGATTTAAACAGGCTACCAATAAAAGAACCTAACCCTAACCCTAGCGGGCTTCAGGCTAAACGGGCTATCCGGGCTATAATAATAATAATAATAATAATAATAATATATAAAAAAATAAAAAATAACAGGAATAAAAAAATACAAAAAAAAATAACAGCGTCTAGTTAACGATTGTTTTCAACGGCTATTTAGTATTTACCGTCTATCACTATGTTTCATGTGTTTCCTATTAGTCGTTCTGATCGGCTTAAATATTTTGGTGTGAAGTACAATAACAATATTGTTAATAATTATCTTTCAAAATTATAATAATCCATTACAACTCATACTTACATGTGAAGTGAAATAACAAAATTGTAATATATAAGAAATCTAAGAGTATATTACTTGATGCAAACATTTAACTCGCCCAACCCTAGTTAAATGGGCCAGCCCTAGCGGGTTTTGAGCTAGCCCTATCGGGCTTCGGGTTAAACGATTCGGGCCTAAAAAGCCCTAATTTAAATGGGCTACTAATAAATGGCTCTAACCCTGTTTTTTTCCGGGCTAAACGGGCCAGCCCGTCGGGCCAAGAACCATTTAACTTCTCTAAGTGGAGTAAGGACTTCAACTCAGATAGGAAGAAAAAGCTTCAGCATCTCAACAAAGTCCTTGAACAGCAGAGAGCTTTTGGTAATAATAGAGACTGGCTTTTGTGGGGAGAATACAAGTGTGAATTGAACAAGGATAATTCTCTAAAGGAACAGTATTGGAGACAAAAATTTCGAATTAATTGGCTCCAAAATAGTGACAAGATTTCAAAATACTTCCATGCTCATACTGCCCAGAGAAGGAAGACTAACAACATCACCAAAATTATCAAAGAGGATGGCACTCCTTGTACATCTCCTGAGGAAATCACTGGCTGCATTGAAGAGTTCTACTCTCACCTATTTACCTCAGAGGGCTCTTCAGGAGGCAATAATCTGCTAAATAACATCCAACCAGTCATCACTGCAGACATGAACTCTGAGATATTAACCCAAGTGGATGAGACTGAAATCAAAGAGAGGACGAGGGGAGAACTCCTACGCTTATTGTAGAGCTTGATTATCACCCCCTATATTTCAGAATCTCTCTTCAGCATTGATAGTAACAAAGCCCCTGGCATTGATGGCATGGCTTCCACCTTTTTCAGTTGCTTTTGGGATATTATTAAACCTGACTTTTGTTCCTCAGTCTCCAGCTTTTTTGAATCTTGCAGAATCCTTAAGAGTTTTAATCATACTCTTATCACTTTAATTCCTAAAATCCAAAATCCTAAATTTGTTTCCCACTATAGGCCTATCAGTTTATGTAGCACTTTCTATAAAACTATATCTAAAATCCTTGCTAATAGACTTAAAAAATGGTTGCCTCTTTGCATTAGTGATAGCCAATGAGCCTTCATTCCTGATAGGAAAATTTTGGATAATGTTGTTATTGCCCCTGAATCTTTGCATTTTCTCAATAGGCATAGATCTGACAATTCTTTCTATATGGCTATTAAATTAGACATGTCCAAAACTTTTGATAGAGTTAACTGGCCATGTGCTAGCCAACTTCTATGTAAATTAGGTTTTCATTCTTCTTTTGTTAATTTGATTATGGCCTGTATTTCTTCTCATTGCTTCTCTTTTAATGTCAATGGGACTCCAAAAGGGTTTGTTCAAGCTAGCAGGGGTATTAGACAGAGGGACCCACTGTCCCCTTATATATTTATTTTGATTTTTGAAATTTTCTCTAGTCTGATCAGAACAGAGGTGTCTAATGGGCATTGGAAAGGGATGAAAATCAGCAAGCATGGCCCCAACCTTACCCATATCTTTTTTTGCAGATGACACCTTACTTTTCTCTCAAGCCTCTAATGACCAAGCTCTCCTGTTACTTGACATCTTTGACAAATACTACCTTTTTACTGGTCAACTTGTCAACCTCTCAAAATCCTCTATTTTCTTTAGCAAGAACACTCCACCCCATATTCAGAACCAAATTTGTAACACCCACAATGGCATCTCAGTGCACTCTTCCTCTAAATACCTTGGGATGCCCTTGGGCTTGGGAAAATCCAAGATTGATACCTTTGCATATGTGGAAAAATCTGTCAAGAGTAGATTGTTGAATTGGAAAACCAAGTTCTTGTCTGTTGCAGGTAAAGAAGTTCTTATAAATTAGTGTTGAATGCCCTGCCTATCTACACAATGTCCTGCTTCCTCATTCCAAAGGCCACTAAAGCAAATATTGACAAAGCAGTTGCTGAGCTCTGTTGGAGTAGTGGAGAATAGAAGAAGAACATTCATTGGAAATCTTGGAGTGTTATCACCTTACCTAAGGAACAAAGGGGTTTGGGCTTCAAGGACATTCACCACATGAACAAAGCTCTCATCACCAAACAAATTTGGAGGATCATCTCCAAGCCCAACCTTCTGATGAGTAATGTTTTAAAGGCAAGATACTTCCACAGAGACAAGTTTTTCTCCATTACCAAAAAACAGAACAAGTCATGGCTATGGAATAGCTGGCTTGAGGTGAGGGACTCTCTTGTGAAAAACCCACAGCATGGTGGGTTGAGATTTAACATCAGACATGGCAGGAGAATCAACATCTAGAATCAACCATGGATCCCATCCATTCCCAAAATTACCAACAGACAGGTTCAAAGCAGCCTAACTTGGGTAAGTGAACTAATTGATGAGACTGGAAGGAAATGGAACGTAGACACTCTCCACCCTATTTTCTCCCCTCTGGAAACTGCAGCCATTTTAAAGTTAAAGGATCTTGATCCCAATGGAGTGGATAAACTAGTGTGGGATGGAGCTAGTAATGGTAAACCCTTCTCAATCTCTTATGTTTACTCCAGTTTAATTAAAGATAAATGGACTACACTGGACATGCCTGAGAGTAGTACAGACCAGAATGTTATGGCAGGGATGAGGAAAAGGAGTTGGTCACTAAAAATCCAAGGGAAGCTTAAACACTTTCTCTGGAAATGTGTTTCCAACACCCTCCTAGTCACAGGCAACCTTTTGAAGAGGAAAATTGCATTGGATCCAATTTGTAAAGGCTGTGGGGAAGAATTGAAAATAGTTGAGCATCTCCCTCTGAATTGCCCTATCTCCTCTAAAGTCTGGACACTGTCTCCATTGTGCTAGGATGGCCAATCACTTTCATCCTTCAAAACTTGGTGGGCTCAAATTTGCTCTATCAATCACTCCTCCACTTCTAATAACAAGTTGCAACTCACAGTTTATATTCTATGGGAAATGTAGAAAGTAAGGAACCTCTGGACCTTCCAAAGAATAAAAAAACTAGAAACAATCATTGTGCAAACAACTCTGAGTAACTGGAATGAGTACACTTATTCTCTCTCCCCTATTACTTGTTGATCATTTGTATCTGGGTCCGGTTTGCATACTCTCTGGCCTGAATGATATGCTGTTGTTATCTTGGTTCTGAGTGTTGTGGTGCTTTCTTAGTGATATTTTCTTTGTTGTGCTGATCCTGGCTTCCTTGTCTCCATAGATAACTTTCTTCCTCAGTTGTGGCCTCTCCTTGTTGGTTTCTCTGGTGCTGTTGGGTATAGCTGTTGGCTGCTGGCTCTTCTGCTTGCTTTGGATTTTTATTGCTTTTGCTCTCTTTTGTGGGTCTTTGTGTTTTTTAGGCTGTCTGTTTGTTGTAGGTTAGTTCTTTTCTTTCCTTTGTTGTATTTCTTATCCTTTGGTTAGTTTGTTAGTTGCTCCAGCTAGGCCGATTAAGGCAGTGGCTGTGGCTTTTATCTTTTTAGTCTGTCGCTTCGGCAGCAAGGCATAAAGAAACTACTCTCGAGTTCTCTTTGATTGTCAATGCACGGGAGTAGGTCTTTATGCTTTATCTTTAGTAGATTATAGTGCGCTTTGGGGTGCCCCTCCATTTTCCGTTTGGATATTGTATGGGTTCCTTAACCCGGATTGTATGGGTTGTATATCTTTATTTGAGTTATAAAATCTATCGTTTCGAGAAAATAAAAAAATTTCATGCACTATTATGACATAATACCCAAAATCAGATCCTACAATGGAATTTCCCTCTCTTATATTATGTTCTTACCCAAAGACACCAAAATGGCAAATATTAAAATTGCAACTACAACTCACTTTTTTATTGATCACAAAATAATTTATATCATTTTATTTCCTTGTAAGTTTTTCGTTTTATCAGTAAATAGTATAGTACTCATGTTTTACGTCAATTTTTTAACGTAATATTATTTTTTAAAATATTATATAATATTAATAAATTAATAAAGGATCAAAGTTTATGAGACCATGTTTCATAAGAATAATTGAAATCATCATGCTCTCAAGCCCTAATCCCCGCATGCCAACATTAATTTTTCAAACAATAAATTTCTAAGTCTATCGTTTAAAAAAATAAAAAAATTCTAATTTGGAGTACTATTATATGCAATTCTAATCTTATTTATTTAACTTAGTATTTAGTTTGTCATTATTTATTAGATATGTTATCATATATGTATATTCTAGTCGGTCTTACGGTTGTGCACGCACGATCGACTCATATTTAGTCTAAAATCTAGTGAAAATTTGTCGTCCATTGAAATAATCAATTGAAATTATATATATATATATATATTTTTTTTACATGTTGTTATTAAATTCGATAGAAATGAAATTTATGTTCAATAGATTTTGACAAAGTTTGCATTTCATAACTGTCCAAATAGGCTTGTAATTTTTGCACAATTTAAATTAATAACAAAGTACATGGCGATGGATTTACACATAGTTTATTTGTGTCCGTGTTGAAGTTTAAAATTAAGGTTTGTATGTTATTTGTGTCCATGTAATAGATTTTATACTCCTTGTTTGCATTTGTTGTTTTTTTTTTTTTAATTAAACTATTACATTGATAGGAACGATAAGGTAAACCACATCAAAGCGAATTATAAAAACCCTCTCTACATTAACTGTATATGATATAATTCAACTTCTCAGTTTTGGAATGAATTTTTTTACTGGGTACACAAATAAAGTCTCCAATTTTTAGTACAACAACATTCGTTCACTAAAGCTAGAGAAAATAACTACACTATGCACAAGGTTTTCTAAGGAGTTGTATCCCTTGACAGCACTGCTTGTTAAGAAAATAATCCTTCACCATAAAGACATCATTACACATTTTAAGAAAATAATCCTTCTTATTCTTTTGAGGTGTGCTCTTTTGCGAAGGCAGCTTAAGAGTTAACCCGTGCATTTGCACGGAAAACTATATGATAAAGGAAAGAATGATAAAAAATACAACCAATAGTAAAAATCATAAAAGAATCATTGGAATAAAAGACGTTTAATAAAAAAAATATATAAATATTATTAACTGCTTTTTTATATACAACTTATGTGGTTTTCCTTTTATAAATATCTTCATCACCACAAATCATTATCTTCAAACCCCCCCAACTCGTAACTTTGGAAAGCACCACGTACAATTGTCTGTGACTAAATACAAGGCTCTTCACCACAAATCATCTCTTATAATAACATACACACTTAATAATTATATAAAATATACAAACAATAAATTAAAAACATATACTAGGTTCTTGGATGATTGAACGCAAATTTTCAGGGACTGGTGGTGTTTGGAATGATGGTGTTACTGTAGACAAATCAGATAATGTACCTACATTAATTAAATTGATAAAGTTAAATTTAAAATAAAATATTTAGAAATTTTATAATGTCAAACTTAATATTTTAAACATTTGTGAAAAAAAAAATTTAGCAAACACAAAAACATTCAAGTTTTTAATGTACCAATTAGTATTAAATTTACACATATAATGGTTTTACTTGTTTAAATGATTATATTTTTCATTACAAATGTTTCAGGTCATTGGTTTTAATAATTTTATTACTATATATTGTATTAAATAATTTTGGGCCAAAAAGTTAAAAAATCTAAGCCCATTTGGAATTGTTGTAAAGCAGGAATATTAAGCCATTATTACAAAAAGTTTTTGTATTAAAATTAGAGTTATTGGGGTGTATTTTTAAAACTTAAAATTTAGCCCAATTAAAAGCCCAAATTTTGAGCCTGTGTAAGTCACTTATGTCGAGTGAATGGGTCCTTAGAGCACCCACAATGCTTTAGGTCTCTTAACAAAAAATCACATGCCATGTAGGAAATAGACCTAGTATATAAAAAAATGTCTCTCAATGCAATTAAAAGTGGACATGGTCTAGCTTATGTGGCAATAAAAAAAAAAAGACCAAGTCCACACTTGGGTCTATTTTGGACCAAAGTACAAACTCAAACACTCATCATTTATTTGTACCTTAATTATTCTTTTAATAAATGAAACATATTAAAGCATTTTTATTGGTTGACATGTATGATAGACCTAGTATTTTATTTTTTTTGCATTGAATAACTTTTGAATTTTTTTAATTGGGTTTTGTCCATGTCATTTAGGACTTCCATTTATATGCCACATATGTAAAATTAGACCCAATGCATTGTGGGTGCTCTTTATTTGACACGTAGAACCTGAGTTTTGATTATACATGTATTAGAGTGACAAGTGCCTAGCAATTGCGTATAAAATTGGAGAAACCCTAAATTGCGAGGATGTCTCGCCATTTTGACCGACTCATGTCGACGCATATCTCTCTCCCAAATTCTTCATCTCAAACCTTATCTTCAGCCTTTCGTAAATGAATATTGTTGAGAATCTAGCCGAAAAAATTGTTTTTGCCGGTGATTGTTTTCCATTTGATATTGAAAAACACCCGAAAAAATGCTTTTTTTCTAGAAAAAAGAGAGATCGAAAAAGTGAAATCGGTTTACTAAATTATAGTATCTTGGTTCAAATCGGGCGACTACATTATAGATCTATGAAGATCTGCAGTTTTAAATTGTCTTCTTTTTAATTTTTTAAAAAATTTATTTTACGTTTGTATTTTTAATGATTTATGGTGTTTTCGAAAATGTTTCTATTCATGTTATAAGATTTTCGATGCTTTTATTTTAACTTATAAGATTAAGCAATTTTTATACCCTTTTTGTTCGAATTATTAAAAAGTTTTGTAAGTTATAAGAAGATGTGCTAAAATTTGAAGAGGATTAAGGAGTCCTTCGCTTTTTAACTGAAAAATGTAAATAGATCTGTAGAAAATTGATTTTTTTTTTTCTCGAAATAATGTAGATCTCTGATTAGCATTTCATTTTTTTGAAAAACAATGTAGACTCTTTTGTTTTCGTATAAATTTATATTAAATTTTAATCAATGAAATGTTCTAGTTCGATGTATAATTGTAAACTGCACTTGTCTAAATATGTCTTGCAGCTTATCACTGGGATTAATTGAAATGTTGCAAAATGTGGCCTGAGATGTGAGAACCATGGTAAGCACAACATAGTTAAAGTTTGTGAAAGGAAATATGTATCAGCTTTTTTTTATGGACTTCTAGAGCAGAGTTTAATTTTGCCTATTTGTGCGGCTGCCTAAAACCGTCTTTTGATTGTGAAATGTAGATTAAAACTACCTCAGGGCTAGTCCAAATTGAGCACAATTTCATTTATTTTAACTGAAAATAGTCCTATTTCATTTACTAAGTGCATGTATTTTCTTAAATAAATTTGTAGTTGGATAGATAATTCATATTTATGAAAAAAGTTTAGATTCATTCAAGTTTAGAATTATCCATTGAAGGATGATGTGTTTGTCTGCCAATAAAATGCAATTCAAGTAATTTGAAAGTA